CTATATTCTTGTGTTGCGTCAAAATGTGCCATATGTGGACGTGTATTATCATGGAGAAGAAGAACACCTTTCCAGTTGCTGGCTATAGATCTCTGCATTAAGAGTTTGATGTGGATTGAGGAGTTCAAAATGAATTACTACTTTGATGTCCCAACAAATGCAAAGCATCACTTTCTGCAGATAGAGTCTGGGTTTTGGGGTTGGAAGTGGTTTTTGTCTAGGACTGAGCCATTGTTTTCAGTATTTAATATTCACATAGAGAATCCATTTTTCATCACTGGTGACAATTCTGTTCAAAACATGGTTCATATGCATTATGCACCAGAAGAGATGAAGCAACGTTCACACCCTAGAAATGATGATCGTTGGAGAGTTCGTGAGGCAATTTCAGGGCCATTTCATGAGTGTCTTGCCTTGGGTTAGACTCAACAAGCGTCTTCAATATCAATTCCAACATGTTGGCCCCTGGTATCACAGTTTTTAAGGCTAAAGTCACCTGAACAAAATTTGCTGAATCATCGTTGACACTTACAAATGTTCAAAACATTTCCATGAACTTCTTTGATATTCTTTGTGGCTACAGAGGCTTTGTTTCCCTTCTTGTATTCAAACAGCATTACATGCCGATTGTGTGTCTCGTCCTGTGCCATCACTATAATGGATTAGAGTATACTAAATTTTACACATTATATAGGCTACACTAACATGACGTTTAGGTGGTTCTTTTAACTATTGTACGTGATGTACGCGTTTTTGGGGGGGTAATGAAAGTGTTCCAAAATGCAACATTAATTTCTTGACGATTCAATATAAACACACACAAATAAGTTGGGATGAGGACATACACACACACTGTACACTATTTTTGGAGTAAAATGTAATAGCTTTAACCATATCTGTTAGAAATATTGCTTATTGTATATTTTGGTTTCTTAAATTAAGAATGTAACATTTTCATTCTAATTATGTGTCAACTACAGTCATGGTGAAGCAAGATAGAAGAAATTTATTCCTTTCAACTGACAGCTATCTACCATATTTTATTATCTTATTTCTATGTCTATATACCATATTTTATTATCTTATTTCTATGTCGATACAATGATATCATTGAAAAACACAATATGGTCAAGTGTTCAAGATCTTTTTTCTAGTTGTCTTTTGCCTTCTCATTATTTAATTTCTGTAGCGCATCTTGGTGTATAAAAGACATTTTAATACCAGAAATAAATGACCTTATAACACCAAAATGTTATTTTTATTTAATTAGACACTCAACTTTTCACTTTACAGCTTCTAAAACACAATCTGAAACTGAAGCTTTGTACTGTTAGCTTCAGATTGTGTTTTAGTTAACGCTCCTGAAGAAGCTGTAAAGATAAACAGTGAGTGTTCAATGAAATAAAAACAACATTTTGGTGTTATAAGGTACATAGAAATAAGATAATAAAATATGGTAATCTTATTTCTATGTCTATTTTACCATATTTTATTATCTTATTTCTATGTCTATTTAATAAAATATGGTATATAGACATAGAAATAAGATAATAAAATATGGTATATAGACATAGAAATAAGATGATAAAATATGGTATATAGACATAGAAATAAGATAATAAAATATGGTATATATACATAGAAATAAGATAATAAAATATGGTATATATACATAGAAATAAGATAATAAAATATGGTATATAGACAGAAATACTACTTAATGCTAACATGTTATTTCTGTGAATTTGTTCTTTTTAAATCCCCATAGAAAATATTTGCCAAAACAAATCATTTGAATTGCTTGTAGGCAAATATTATAGACAAATCATTATATATATTATTCCATGATCTATCAACTGAAAATTGTTGTATACTGTTAAATTGTTAATCTACAAACTCTGATTGTGTATTTATGCATTTTTAAATATAGCATAATTTACATTTGAAATGTTTTGATAAGAGTTGTTACTAGTTACTTACTAATGTGTAATTCTTCCTGTTTATTGTTACAGTCTGCAGCTGACTACCATGTGTCTCCAGTGTAGACCAACCACAGTGTCTTGTGTATGTATAAAGCTAGCATGTGAACGATCCAATTGGGATGTAAGTATATTCTAGTGTTACGAAAAGTTAAATAGAATTCACTTGATATCTCATTATCTTTTGTGTGATATTCTCTACCGTTGAAAATATTAAAACTGTACTGTTTATTGAATAATAAGTCTTTGTCTTATTTTAAAGCTTGAAGTTGAACTAAGAGTAACCATACAAGTCTATTCTTATTTGATAAGTTGAACTAAGAGTAACCATACAAGTCTATTCTTATTTGATAAGTTGAACTAAGAGTAACCATACAAGTGTATTCTATTCATGAGTTTGTAAACAATAAAAGAAGTAAACTTGTGTCAGAAAACCAAGAGTGGTTGTTGAAAAGCAGGAATGGTTATGTTTTCTATAGGCTAGTTTGAACTTCTATAGTGTGATCTGTAATACAGGTTATAATTTACAAAGAATTTTTCTTTTGTTTATTTGCTAGCTACCTCAGTTGATAGATGGAAGAGAATGGTTTTGGTTTGTGGACAAAGGCCTTACAAGAGAAATCCTGGAGGGTAAGATAATGTGATGATGGTTTGTATGTAGTAAAACTTGCATATTAAAGTAAAATAGAGTAGTATACATAATACGTTTTACTCTTCGTGAAAACATCCTAGTAACATTTCTTTAATATGTTGTGAAACTACAGAAAACTTCGGAGTCATTTAATTATAAATCTTCAACTTTTCTCTCGTTTCCAGAATTGGCAGCTGAGTTTTCCACAGTGTTGGAGAAATGTCCAAGTAGGGTGAAACGAAAAATGCAGAGTTTAAGTTCCGTAAAAAAGGTATTTGTGAATTAAGTCAACAGTATCTGTGAATTAAGTCAACAGTATTTGTGAATTAAGTCAACAGTATTTACTTATAGTTGAGAAGTTAAAAGTCTTAAGTTGCTAATTTGTGTTTTATTTTTTCTCTTCAAAGTAACTATTTAGGTTGTGATAAAATCACAACATAGTAGATGTTGAAGTTACAAAAGTATGTCATTTTCTGTGCCAGGATTTATAGTTGAATAAACTGTGTTGATGCTGAAACATATTCTGCAAGTAATACTACATTACTAATTATTCAAATATGTCTAGATATTTTTAGGTCAGTACTGGTGCTAAGGCTTTAGCTTAGTCTACCTTGTTTCTTCCACGAGTTATTTTTTATCTCATTTTATCTAGTATTTGTGATATTTGTTTATGGCATTAGTTTTTTCTTTTTTTTCCTCTTTCTTTCCTTAGTGATATTTGATTTTATTGTTTGTGGCACGTGTTATTTTTGATTGTGTT